TCCAGGACGTCCCCCAGCCCCGCGGAGAAGATGAACACGGGGACGTTGTGCTGATGCAGGCGTGAGAAAAACTGCTCGTATCCATCTCTGCACCAAGAGACATTCAAATGAATTTGGATGCAGACACTTTCCACTTTTTGTTCTGACTCGAGGAGAAAGCAGTAAAATATTATGTATTTAAACTAGCGCTGTCAGTTAAACGCCTTGATAACGGTGATAACGCAAACTTATTTTAATGGTGTCCATATTTTTATTGCGCAATAATGCAAGTATGTATTTATGACAGAAAGCCGGGACTGAGGTACAGCAGTCTTGGAAAGAAATGAGGAGAACATGCAAACTCCACACAGAAAGGCCTGATGGTCTGGAGGTCGAGTCGAGGCTAACCACTCTGCCACTGGAGCTATAGTTATTCCCACTGCGGTGATGTCACATACACTGTTTTCATTTAAGGCAGTTTGATGTTTTTTTTTTTTTACAAAGAAAGACTCTCTTTCATTTGACAATTCAAGACATTTCTACTGTGTTCAATATTTCTATTCTCTATAAACAGCAAAAACAAAAGCAGAGAGTGAGAAGTTAGACAAATACTGTCTTTCTGGAGCTTCATCAAATCCATTTTCAAACCAAATCAAGGGACGTTTAGAACAGGGACCAATATATGATCATGATTCAATATTGTAAATGTTTGACACTAATTTAAACGTCTTGTGTGAGTGTGGGCCTCACCGCAGCGCTGCGTCGGAGTCGCGCACGGCCTGGGGCAGTTTGTCCTTCTGTATGCGCTGCTCCACCAGCAGAGAGTGAGACTTAAAATACCTGCACACAATATAAATACACACATCTACATCAACAGACTGTGGAACACAGGTCACACATGTGTCTGATGCTTCACCCGCTGTCTCATGGTCTGATGGTCTAAGGATGGGACCCTGAACCCGCCTCCTCCCTCTGCACCTGTGGACTCTCCTCCCTGGCTCGACTCGTGGACTGCACCCCCTCCTCAGTCTTGGATCATGTGTGTGTGTGTGTGTGTGTGTGTGTGTGTGTGTGTGTACCATTCCACCATGAAGGGGAACTTGTCCTCCATGCTGAGCTGTGGGTCGATCTCGATGGGATAGTACTGGTTCTTCAGCTGCACCAACTTCTGCCGACACTCGTCTGTGACGAGCTGTGAGTAGTCGATGATATCTGCACAGACAAAGAGGAGGATTAGACCTGCTTTAGACCGGCTTAAGTCTTGCTAAAAGGTACATAGGAAGATTTTCTACTTCCAGGTGGATAATAAAGACTATTGGTTCTCGTAATTGTCAATCATTCTGGTCATACGTGCTCGTCAAATAAGACCAGATAGTTGTGTTCTTTCCTAAAATTTGGGAAAACACAGATACAGTACATCTTTAAGTCTTGATTTAGTCCTGCTTTAGTTCCTACTTCAGACCCTTTTCTGGTCTAGAGTCTTAGTCCAGTCCGGATCTGATCTCTGATCTCTGGTCTCTGGTCTCTGGTCTCTGGTCTCTGGTCTCGGTCTCGGTCTCGGTCTCGGTCTCTTACTGTGGCAGGTGGGGCAGCGTTTTCCATTGACTTGAAACTTGGATAACGTCATGTCGAAGTCTGTGATGATCTGAGGAGCACAAGGACGACAACACTTTACTTCAATTAGAAGGTTTGCCTCTCTCTGGTCTCTCTCTCTCTCTCTCTCTCTGGTCTCTCTCTCTCTCTCTCTCTGGTCTCGGTCCTTCTAGTCTCTCTCTCTCTCTCTGGTCTCTCTCTCTCTCTCTCTCTCTGGTCTCGGTCCTTCTAGTCTCGCTCTCTCTCTCTGGTCTCTCTCTCTCTCTGGTCTCGGTCCTTCTAGTCTCTCTCTCTGGTCTCTCTCTCTCTGGTCTCGGTCCTTCTAGTCTCTCTCTCTCTCTCTGGTCTCTCTCTCTCTCTGGTCTCGGTCCTTCTAGTCCTCTCTCTCGCTCTCTCTGGTCTCTCTCTCTTACAGTCTGAGGTGTGTTTTTTCAACATTTTTTAACTATTCCTACCAAATAAACTATAAACGCTCTCTGGTCAAAACATTGTGAATGGAACTTGGGGCCTAAAAAACCACTGAAGACCAAAGCCTGGTAGTCCGGTCCTAGTCTGGTCCATGTCCTGGTCAGGTCCTGGTCCTGGTCTGACCTGCAGTTTGCTGGCCCCTCCTTTGATGAGGCCACAGGTGATCTGCTCCACTCGCTCGGGGTCCTTCATGTGGACCGTGGACTTCTCAAACTGTGGCATCTGCACACACACAAACACAGGGAAAACATCACACTCCCAGCATCTACACGCACAAACACACACTCTCTCTGGTCTCTCTGGTCCCTCTGGTCCCTCTGGTCCCTCTGGTCTCTCTCTCTGGTCTCTCTGGTCTCTCTGGTCTCTCTGGTCCCTCTGGTCTCTCTGGTCTCTGGTCTCGGACCCTCTGGTTTCTCTCTCTCTCTCTGGTCCCTCGGTCCCTCTGGTCCCTCTCTGTCTCTGGTCTCTCTCTGTCTCTGGTCTCTCTCTGTCTCTGGTCTCGGTCCCTCTGGTCTCTCTCTCTCTCTCTCTGGTCTCGGTCCCTCTGGTTTCTCTCTGGTCTCTCTCTCTATCTCTCTCTGGTCTCGGTCCCTCTGGTCTCGCTCTCTCTCTGGTCTCGGTCCCTCTGGTTTCTCTCTCTCTCTGGTCTCGGTCCCTCTGGTCTCTCTCTCTCTCGGTCTCTCTGGTCTCTCTGGTCTCTCTGGTCTCTCTGGTCTCTCTCTGGCCTCTCTGGTCTCTCTGGTCCCTCTGGTCCCTCTGGTCTCTCTGGTCTCTCTGGTCTCTCTGGTCTCTCTGGTCCCTCTGGTCCCTCTGGTCTCTCTGGTCCCTCTGGTCTCTCTGGTCTCTCTGGTCTCTCTGGTCTCTCTCTGGTCTCTCTGGTCTCTCTGGTCTCTCTGGTCCCTCTGGTCTCTCTGGTCTCTCTGGTCTCTCTGGTCTCTCTGGTCTCTCTGGTCTCTCTGGTCTCTCTCTGGTCTCTCTCTGGTCTCTCTGGTCTCTCTGGTCTCTCTGGTCTCTCTGGTCTCTCTGGTCTCTCTGGTCTCTCTGGTCCCTCTGGTCTCTCTGGTCTCTCTGGTCTCTCTGGTCTCTCTGGTCTCTCTGGTCCCTCTGGTCTCTCTGGTCTCTCTGGTCCCTCTGGTCCCTCTGGTCCCTCTGGTCTCTCTGGTCCCTCTGGTCTCTCTGGTCTCTCTCTGGTCTCTCTCTGGTCTCTCTGGTCTCTCTCTGGTCTCTCTGGTCTGGTCTGGTCTCTCTGGTCTCTCTGGTCTCTCTCTGGTCTCTCTGGTCCCTCTGGTCTCTCTGGTCTCTCTGGTCTCTCTGGTCTCTCTGGTCTCTCTGGTCCCTCTGGTCTCTCTGGTCTCTCTGGTCTCTCTGGTCTCTCTGGTCTCTCTGGTCTCTCTGGTCTCTCTCTCTGGTCTCTCTGGTCTCTCTGGTCTCTCTGGTCTCTCTGGTCTCTCTGGTCTCTCTGGTCTCTCTGGTCCCTCTGGTCTCTCTGGTCTCTCTGGTCTCTCTGGTCTCTCTGGTCTCTCTGGTCTCTCTGGTCCCTCTGGTCTCTCTGGTCTCTCTGGTCTCTCTGGTCTCTCTGGTCTCTCTGGTCTCTCTGGTCTCTCTGGTCTCTCTGGTCTCTCTGGTCTCTCTGGTCTCTCTGGTCTCTCTGGTCCCTCTGGTCTCTCTCTGGTCTCTCTGGTCTCTCTGGTCTCTCTGGTCTCTCTGGTCTCTCTGGTCTCTCTGGTCTCTCTGGTCCCTCTGGTCCCTCTGGTCCCTCTGGTCTCTCTGGTCCCTCTGGTATTCTGGTCTCTCTGGTCTCTCTGGTCTCTCTCTGGTCTCTCTGGTCTCTCTGGTCTCTCTGGTCTCTCTGGTCTCTCTGGTCCCTCTGGTCCCTCTGGTCCCTCTGGTCTCTCTGGTCTCTCTGGTCTCTCTGGTCTCTCTGGTCTCTCTGGTCTCTCTCTGGTCTCTCTGGTCTCTCTGGTCTCTCTGGTCTCTCTGGTCTCTCTGGTCCCTCTGGTCTCTCTCTGGTCTCTCTGGTCTCTCTGGTCTCTCTGGTCTCTCTCTGGTCTCTCTGGTCTCTCTGGTCTCTCTGGTCTCTCTGGTCTCTCTGGTCTCTCTGGTCTCTCTGGTCTCTCTGGTCCCTCTGGTCTCTCTCTGGTCTCTCTGGTCTCTCTGGTCTCTCTGGTCTCTCTGGTCCCTCTGGTCCCTCTGGTCTCTCTGGTCTCTCTGGTCTCTCTGGTCTCTCTGGTCTCTCTGGTCTCTCTGGTCTCTCTGGTCTCTCTGGTCTCTCTGGTCTCTCTGGTCTCTCTGGTCTCTCTGGTCCCTCTGGTCTCTCTGGTCTCTCTGGTCTCTCTGGTCTCTCTGGTCTCTCTGGTCTCTCTGGTCCCTCTGGTCCCTCTGGTCTCTCTGGTCCCTCTGGTCTCTCTGGTCTCTCTGGTCTCTCTGGTCTCTCTGGTCTCTCTGGTCTCTCTGGTCTCTCTGGTCTCTCTCTGGTCTCTCTGGTCTCTCTGGTCTCTCTGGTCTCTCTGGTCTCTCTGGTCTCTCTGGTCTCTCTGGTCCCTCTGGTCTCTCTCTGGTCTCTCTGGTCTCTCTGGTCTCTCTGGTCTCTCTCTGGTCTCTCTGGTCTCTCTGGTCTCTCTGGTCTCTCTGGTCTCTCTGGTCTCTCTGGTCTCTCTGGTCTCTCTGGTCTCTCTGGTCTCTCTGGTCTCTCTGGTCTCTCTGGTCTCTCTGGTCCCTCTGGTCTCTCTCTGGTCTCTCTGGTCTCTCTGGTCTCTCTGGTCTCTCTGGTCCCTCTGGTCCCTCTGGTCTCTCTGGTCTCTCTGGTCTCTCTGGTCTCTCTGGTCTCTCTGGTCTCTCTGGTCTCTCTGGTCTCTCTGGTCTCTCTGGTCTCTCTGGTCTCTCTGGTCCCTCTGGTCCCTCTGGTCCCTCTGGTCCCTCTGGTCTCTCTGGTCCCTCTGGTCTCTCTGGTCTCTCTGGTCTCTCTGGTCTCTCTGGTCTCTCTGGTCTCTCTGGTCTCTCTGGTCTCTCTGGTCTCTCTGGTCTCTCTGGTCCCTCTGGTCTCTCTGGTCTCTCTGGTCTCTCTGGTCTCTCTGGTCCCTCTGGTCTCTCTGGTCTCTCTGGTCTCTCTCTGGTCTCTCTGGTCTCTCTGGTCTCTCTGGTCTCTCTGGTCTCTCTGGTCCCTCTGGTCTCTCTGGTCTCTCTGGTCTCTCTGGTCTCTCTGGTCTCTCTCTGGTCTCTCTGGTCTCTCTGGTCTCTCTGGTCTCTCTGGTCTCTCTGGTCTCTCTGGTCCCTCTGGTCCCTCTGGTCTCTCCGGGACTGATCGATCCACTCAGTGCAGATTTCAGATTCATCACTGCTCTTTATCCACCATTGATTTTGTGCCGATCTGAGAAGAACTGAATCTGTTTTTTCTTCTCTTTGTCTGGAGCGAACAGAAGCAGCTCTCGACTCTTTCTGATGCATGTATTTGAATTTATTCATATCAGGTCAAAGATAGAAATCCTTGTATCTGTCTCTGCACTGCAAAAGGTGATGGAAAATACGTCAAAAATTGCTCAAAATGTGCAAAATGTGAAAAATCTAAGCACAGACCTGTGTAGGATATGGAGCCGTGGGTCGCTCTGGTGCTACAATAATAATGAAATCTCACCACAGCGTTAGTAACAAGTGCACACACACACACACACACACACACACACACACACACACACGGGGAGCACTTACAGCCGTCTGATCTCAGTGATGTGGAAAAAAACATTTAAACACAGAACAGAGAGTCTGTGGCTGTAGTCCAGTCTCTCTTCTTCTGCAGCTGTAGTCCAGTCTCTCTTCTTCTGCAGCTGTAGTCCAGTCTCTCTTCTTCTGCAGCTGTAGTCCAGTCTCTCCTTCTTCTGCAGCTGTAGTCCAGTCTCTCTTCTTCTGCAGCTGTAGTCCAGTCTCTCTTCTTCTGCGGTGGCTGTAGTCCAGTCTCTCTTCTTCTTCTGCAGCTGTAGTCCAGTCTCTCTTCTTCTGCAGCTGTAGTCCAGTCTCTCTTCTTCTGCAGCTGTAGTCCAGTCTCTCCTTCTTCTGCAGCTGTAGTCCAGTCTCTCTTCTTCTGCAGCTGTAGTCCAGTCTCTCTTCTTCTGCGGTGGCTGTAGTCCAGTCTCTCTTCTTCTTCTGCAGCTGTAGTCCAGTCTCTCTTCTTCTGCAGCTGTAGTCCAGTCTCTCTTCTTCTGCGGCGGCTGTAGTCCAGTCTCTCTTCTCCTGCGGCGGCTGTATTTCAGTCTCTCTTCTTCTTCTGCAGCTGTAGTCCAGTCTCTCTTCTTCTTCTGAAGCTGTAGTCCAGTCTCTCTCCTTCTTCTGCAGCTGTAGTCCAGTCTTTCTTCTTCTGCAGCTGTAGTCCAGTCTCTCTTCTGCTGCGGCGGCTGTAGTCCAGTCTCTCTTCTTCTTCTGCAGCTGTAGTCCAGTCTCTCTTCTTCTTCTGCGGCTGTAGTCCAGTCTCTCTTCTCCTGCGGCGGCTGTATTTCAGTCTCTCTTCTTCTTCTGCAGCTGTAGTCCAGTCTCTCTTCTTCTTCTGTAGCTGTAGTCCAGTCTCTCTTCTTCTGCAGCTGTAGTCCAGTCTCTCTTCTTCTTCTGCAGCTGTAGTCCAGTCTCTCTTCTTCCTCTGCAGCTGTAGTCCAGTCTCTCTTCTTTTGCAGCTGTAGTCCAGTCTCTCTTCTTCTTCTGCGGCTGTAGTCCGGTCTCTCTTCTTCTGCGGCGGCTGTAGTCCAGTCTCTCTTCTTCTGCCGCTGTAGTCCAGTCTCTCTTCTTCTTCTGCAGCTGTAGTCTAGTATCTCTTCTTCTGCGGCTGTAGTCCAGTCTCTCTTCTGCCACTGTAGTCCAGTCTCTCTTCTTCTTCTGCAGCTGTAGTCTAGTCTCTCTTCTTCTGCAGCTGTAGTCCAGTCTCTCTTCTTCTGCGGCGGCTGTAGTCCAGTCTCTCTTCTTCTGCCGCTGTAGTCCAGTCTCTCTTCTTCTTCTGCAGCTGTAGTCCAGTCCCTCTTCTTCTGCAGCTGTAGTCTAGTCTCTCTTCTTCTGCAGCTGTAGTCCAGTCTCTGCTCTTCTGCGGCGGCTGTAGTCCGGTCTCTCTTCTTCTGCGGCGGCTGTAGTCCAGTCTCTCTTCTTCTGCCGCTGTAGTCCAGTCTCTCTTCTTCTTCTGCAGCTGTAGTCCAGTCTCTCTTCTTCTGCAGCTGTAGTCTAGTCTCTCTTCTGCCGCTGTAGTCCAGTCTCTCTTCTTCGTCTGCAGCTGTAGTCTAGTCTCTCTTCTTCTGCAGCTGTAGTCCAGTCTCTCTTCTTCTGCAGCTGTAGTCTAATCTCTCTTCTTCTGCGGCTGTAGTCCAGTCTCTGCTCTTCTGCGGCGGCTGTAGTCCAGTCTCTCTTATTCTGCGGCTGTAGTCCAGTCTCTCTTCTTCTGCAGCTGTAGTCCAGTCTCTCTTCTTCTTCTGCGGCTGTAGTCCAGTCTCTCTTCTTCTGCAGCTGTAGTCCAGTCTCTCTTCTTCTTCTGCGGCTGTAGTCCAGTCTCTCTTCTTCTTCTGCAGCTGTAGTCCAGTCTCTCTTCTTCTTCTGCGGCTGTAGTCCAGTCTCTCTGTTTCTGCGGCGGCTGTAGTCCAGTCTCTCTTCTTCTTCTGCAGCTGTAGTCCAGTCTCTCTTCTTCTGCAGCTGTAATCTAGTCTCTCTTCTTCTGCGGCTGTAGTCCAGTCTCTGCTCTTCTGCGGCGGCTGTAGTCCAGTCTCTCTTCTTCTTCTGCGGCTGTAGTCCAGTCTCTCTTCTTCTTCTGCGGCTGTAGTCCAGTCTCTCTTCTTCTTCTGCAGCTGTAGTCCAGTCTCTCTTCTTCTTCTGCAGCTGTAGTCCAGTTTCTCTTCTTCTTCTGCGGCTGTAGTCCAGTCTCTCTTCTTCTTCTGCGGCTGTAGTCCAGTCTCTCTGTTTCTGCGGCGGCTGTAGTCCAGTCTCTCTTCTTCTTCTGCAGCTGTAGTCCAGTCTCTCTTCTTCTTCTGCGGCTGTAGTCCAGTCTCTCTTCTTCTTCTGCGGCTGTAGTCCAGTCTCTCTTCTTCTTCTGCGGCTGTAGTCCAGTCTCTCTTCTTCTTCTGCAGCTGTAGTCCAGTCTCTCTTCTTCTTCTGCAGCTGTAGTCCAGTTTCTCTTCTTCTTCTGCGGCTGTAGTCCAGTCTCTCTTCTTCTTCTGCGGCTGTAGTCCAGTCTCTCTGTTTCTGCGGCGGCTGTAGTCCAGTCTCTCTTCTTCTTCTGCAGCTGTAGTCCAGTCTCTCTTCTTCTTCTGCAGCTGTAGTCCAGTCTCTCTTCTTCTTCTGCGGCTGTAGTCCAGTCTCTCTTCTTCTTCTGCAGCTGTAGTCTAGTCTCTCTTCTTCTGCGGCTGTAGTCCAGTCTCTCTGTTTCTGCGGCGGCTGTAGTCCGTGCTACAGTCCAGACGTAGCTAACAGCATTAGCAGCGGATGTGCAGGATTCATGTTTTAGTCTCAGTTCCGTCTTAACTGAGACTAATCACAAGAAAATCATCAGAGAATCGAGAGACGCACTGGAAACCTAATTGGTCATATACGTATATACACCGCTACTGAAGCTACACTGTCTGTTGTCACGGCAACATCCCATTCTCACAATAATGTTATAGCTTTGAAAAGAAAAATAAGTATAATTGAGTTGAAGCTGGAGCCGCCACATTTCGTACAGAGACAAAAACACACGATCCATTAGCAGAGAATCCACGGATCATGTGTGTGTGTGTGTCTGTGGGTGTGTGTGTGTGTGTGTGTGTGTCTAACCTGTGTGTGTCTGTGTGTTTAGTCTGTGTGTGTGTGTGTGTCTAACCTGTGTGTGTGTCTGTGTGTGTGTGTGTGTCTGACCTGTATGTGTGTCTGTGTGTGTGTTTGTGTGTCTGACCTGTGTGTGTGTCTGTGTGTTTAGTCTGTGTGTGGGTGTGTGTGTGTGTCTGTGTGTTTAGTCTGTGTGTGTGTGGGTGTGGGTGTGTGTGTCTGACCTGTGTGTGTGTCTGTGTGTTTAGTCTGTGTGTGTGTGTGTGTCTGACCTGTGTGTGTGTCTGCGTGTTTAGCCTGTGTGTGCGTGGGTGTGTGTGTTTGTGTCTGTGTTTAGTCTGTGTGTGGATGTGTGTGTGTGTGTAGTCTGTGTGTATGTGTGTGTAGTCTGTGTGTGTGAGTGTCTGACCTTGTGCAGTCTGTGTGTGTGTGTGTGTGTGTAGTCTGTGTGTAGTCCGACCTGTTTAGTGTGTGTGAAGCACTGGGACTTTGGTTTGCAGACATAAAGCCCTGGACTGATGCACGGTCACAAACCTGCTTCAGTTAAACTCATGCGGCACAGATCCAGACGTGTGTTTTCTCTGAGCAGCTGCAGCGGTGACACCAGAACCTGCAGCGGTGACACCAGAACCTGCAGCGGTGACACCAGAACCTGCAGCTCCAGAAAAAACACTGTATTTCTAGTGTCCATAAGAAGAGACAATCCTGGTTCCATCCAAACATGACGGCCTGGGATCGATTCATTAATGGCTGTTGCATCAAAAAGGAGGAAGTGGACAAAAACAAAGAAAATCCCACTCAACAGAACATATAGACACGGCAAAAAAATGATAAAATATGAAGTAAAATCAACAAAAATCCACAAATGTAAACATAATTATTCATTTTTGTCTGGAAATATTAACCCTTTATTGCCTCAACCATTTGGTAGATCACCTTTTGAATCCATATATCTACTTTAAGCATGCCTGAAATATACCTCTGCATCTCACTTGGTTTTAGCCATTTATATCATCAAACTGCACTGAAAAAAAAAATAAAAAAAAAAATGTGTTATTAGTGCTCCTAAGTCTTTGAAAATCCAAAAAAGATAACAAAAATACATCGCTATCTTCAAGGAGTTTGTTAAAGGTTAAAACTGTTAAAGGTTAAAACTCTCAAGAGGTTCAAAACGAAAATATTGTTTCTGATTGTGTCT